CAGGCCGACCGGCTCGGCTGCCGACAGTTCGTCACGGCCACAGACGTGGTCCGCGGAAACCCCAAACTCAACCTGGCCTACGTAGCCAATCTCTTCAACAAGTACCCGGCTCTGAAGAAGCCCGAGAACCAGGACATCGACTGGAGCTCTATTGAGGGTGAGTCCATCATTTACTCTCTATATACCAAAGTTTGTGAACTCAAACATTCTCAGCAGTTAACGAGTCGTTCATAAGTACAATCTGAGATGTGATCAATATTCACAGATATGATGTTAAGCTGCTGATCTGATCATGTTCTCATGTTTGTCAGGAGAGACCAGAGAGGAGCGAACCTTCAGGAACTGGATGAACTCACTGGGCGTCAATCCACGCGTCAATCATCTCTACGTGTGAGTGTCATAAACCCCATCAGCAGCGCTGTACTCGCTAGAAAACACAGGGCAGGACTGATCAACTACAGAGAATAAAGCACATTAGTGGATCCTAAAGAGAAATGAGTGATGCACCAAAATCTCAGTAATTCATTTTCAGTTTGGGCCGAAACCATTTTGGAGAGTCAGAACCATTGATGTTTAATTAGCGCTTCTCTGACGTTTTGACTGTGTTGGTGCATAAACTACAACAGGTAAACAATTTCAACTGCAGAAAGACGTCAAAAACAGCTTGTAAACAACACGTGACGTCACATTGACCTCAGAAAAGACATTCAATGAACAAAAAAAAAAAACTTTAGAGAGGAGCGTTTTTGGTAAATATGTACTACATTACATATTCATATATATTTTTTGTACTTAATCTGTTGTCCTCATGTGATTAAATATGAAACAACACGTGACGTCACATTGACCTCAGAAAAGACATTCAATGAACAAAAAAAAAAACTTTAGAGAGGAGTGTCTTTGGTAAATATATGTACTACATTACATATTCATATATATTTTTTGTACTTAATCTGTTGTCCTCATGTGATTAAATATATGAGTTTTTATTACAATCACCGATTCAACTACGAATTGAAGTAGAAACATAATTATATCATTAAAAAGTATCAAAACTGGCTTATGTGCAATTTAAATGTTTGCATACAACTACAATTTTTATTTGAGTGTTGATTAGTAAATAAATTTGATTAATTAATTTTGAGTTTTCAGCTAAATTAAAATTTTGTTTTGTTTTACAGTGTTTCTGTAAAAAAATTAATTTCGGTGCATCACTAATTCTTACTAATTCTACAGTATATTTACTGTATATATAGTGCGTTTCTGTATTATGATCTTCACATTATATACATCAAAGCAAAAGTTTTAATTTCTACACAACTGAATTCAAATAAGCATGTTTGTTTCCAGTATGATGATGGCAAACCAGTCTGAAACGTTTGATAATGAAAACTGTGTGCACTAGTATCCAGGCTAACGAAAAGAACGTAAAAAAAAAACGTTATTTCTGAATGTTCTCTGAACGTTCAAATTGTCCAGTTTTCTTATGTTTTTCTTGGTTATGTGAACATTAGAGAAAACTTTAAAGAAACATTCCATTGTATCATTTTGCAACATTATGGGAACGTTACTTTTAAATGTTCTCTCAACCATCAGAAGCTTGTACCATGTTTTAATGCAACATGTTTAGTTAAAAATGAAAAAGAAAAACACTTCATGAACCAAGTATGAATAATGTTTTTGTGCGAACCTTATTAAAGAGGGGATAACTGAACAAACGTTTATTAATGTTACTGTAAGAACGTTTGTTCATAACTTTGAGAGAACCTCGCCGGAAGGTTCCCGGTCAGCTGGGAGGTGATTTCAGACGCCGCCGGAGACACTAGCGCAGGCTCTCACTGCGTTCTCTGTGTTCTTCCAGGGATCTGGCCGATGCTCTGGTGATCTTCCAGCTCTATGAAAAGATCAAGGTTCCTGTGGACTGGGACAAAGTCAACAAACCGCCGTATTCCAAACTGGGCAGCAACATGAAAAAGGTACAAATGCAGTATAACAGAGGGTCATCACTCAAACGCTTCAAAGGCCCCATGAAATGACTCGTGAACTTCTGCCTTCACGTTCACCTGGGAAGCTCCTGTTGCGTTATTACAA